CAATTCTATACCAGTGAGAAAAAGGTGTTGGAACTGACATAGCAGCTTCACGAAGAGCAGAATCTCAATGCCTACATCTACACCAAAAGGAAGCATCCTTGGGAGACTTAGGAATCTTAGAAGTTTCTTATTTGTTATTCCTTTGTAAACTTTGATTTCATTTGAACTTGCTAATAAAAAGTCTTTTTTTCTATTTTGGTTTAAAGAGTTTGAATCCTATGAGGCCTTCGAAAATAATGCATAAGCATATCATGCATTTAATTGCATAAACATGTATTCCAAGATAGGTTTCTTAACTTTTCGCTGTTTATTTCAACAAAAGAAATGGCTCTTGAAAAAAGAGTGAAAGACCTCCAAGCTCAGAACGCTCAGTTTCAGCAAATGTTCCTGGCTCTGGCTTAGGGGCAAGAAGATCTGAAATCTATGATCATCAAATAGAATACCAAGAAGCCAAAGAAACCAGCTGGTGTCTTGAACATGGGAAGAAGGTTCAGAGGTCTGACCAAGCGAGCTCTAGATTTCACAACAACGTCGGATGAAGGGGACAAACAAGAAGAAAACCCCAAGGAGGGAGACAACAACCCATGGTCTGAGGAAGATGAAGATGACTACTCTGAGGAGCAGTATCCTCCTGCTGGTGATAAATACAAACAGCTAGAGGATCGCTTCAATTCTATGGAGATCCAGAGGGTACCCAGGCTAGATTTTGAAGAGCTAGGACTGGTCTCATGGGTGGTCATCCCACATAAATTCAAGGTTCCTGTATTTGCTAAGTATGATGGTGCCTCCTGTCCTAAGTTGCACTTAAGGTCATATGTCAGGAAGATTCAACCCACACTACTGATAAGGATCTGTGGATACATTTCTTCCAAGAAAGTTTGTCAGGGACTCAGCTGGAATGGTTCTATCAACTGGAAAGAACCAACGTTCGTAATTGGGAAGATCTGGTTGCCGCTTTCTACAAGAAGTACCAATACAACGCTGACCTTGCACCAACTCATACATAATTGCAAAGTATGTCTATGGATTTCGGCGAAGGTTTTAAATATTATGCCCAAAAGTTGAGAGACCTTGCGAGAAGATTCCATCCTCCGTTGTCTGATAGGGAGGTGGTGGACATGTTCTTGGGCACGTATTCTGGTCCATTCTTTAACCATCTGATTGGAAGCTCTTATATCGGGTTCACTAAACTGATACTGACTGGTGAACGGGTATAAGCTAGCATCATAAGTGGTAAAATCCAGAGAGATGCATCCTCCAGTATAGAAAGAAACCTTTCACAGGAAAGAAGGAGGTCAGTGCTGCTATGGCCAAAGAAATCACAACAAAACTGCACGTCGTCTGACGGTATGAGCTGTTATGATTTCTAATCCTGCCTTAAACCAACAACGAAACAATCAGCCCAGGCCAGATATGCCCAGAAGACAGTTCACCTGGATCAACATGACCTTGTCCCAGGTATTGACACATCTGCTGATGTCTAATTTGGTGACTCTAAAGGAAGCCCCTAAGAATCCTAATACTGCATCTCCCTGCTACAACCCAAATTCCGGATGTGCCTACCACCCTGAAACTCTGGGGCATGATACAAACGACTGTTGGGGTTTAAAGAATAAGGTACAAGATCTCATTGAGGCGAAGGAGATTGAGTTTGACCTTTTAGAGACACCTAATGTGATAATTGCGCCACTGCCCAAACATGGCCAAGGTGTCAATGCTCTTGATGATGATCGCTTTGTTTCTTCTGTGGATGAGTTAGCTAGTCCTCTTCTAACTATTAAAGAGAATCTGTTGTGAGCCGGTTTATTTCCAGGCTATGGTGAAGGTTGCCACTTATGTATGTCTCTACCATATGGTTGTTTGTTGTTAAAGATGGGCGTCCAACGCCTGATGGTTAACAAATAAATTATGTTCGAGAAAGTTCCCTTTGTAAGAAATTTTTGTGAAGACGTTTAGATAATTACTATTTCCGACAATCCCCCCAGGGTCTCCACCAAAAGACCCGTCAGGATTACATCTGTTCCCAAGTTTGCTCCCTTGATCATCACCCTTCCTGGGCCAATACCATATTCTTCGGATAAAGATGTTCCCTGGAATTATGGGGCTAACGTCTATTACCATGGCGTCAAGCAAGACCTGTTGGCTATTGAAGACAAAGTTTTTGAAGGTACTGATCCTGACATCGACAATATCGTCGGGACCAGTAAAATTACAAGAAGTGGAAGAGTTTTCTCTCCCGATATCTCTCCAAAGACTATTGCTACTCCTGTGATCATTCATGCTGCTACTCCTGGAAGTACTCCCATTGCTACTCCTACTATTCTCCCTATTGTTATCCCTGCTGCTGAGTCGGCAGAGACTTGGGGCAAAGAGGTATTGGTTGAGCCTGTCCAGATGAAGGCATCCAAAGAAGTCATCCCTGAGGCTTCTAAAAAGGAAATGGATGAGATACTAAAGATAATCAAGAAAAGTGATTATAATAGGGTGGAGCAATTGGGGAAAACCCCTTCAAAAATATCAATGCTGGCTTTACTTTTGTGCTCTAAAGCCAATGCTAAGGCTTTAGTAAAATTCTTGAAGTCGGCCCATGTTCCTCAAGAGACCTCCACTGATCAATTCTAGAATTGCATGGCTAGTTTGATAGCTGACAATGGCCTGGGATTCTCTTATACAGATTTAACTCCCAAGGGAAGGAAACACAATGATGCCCTGCATGTCTCTATTGAGTGTAGGGGCATTATATTAACCCATGTTTGGGTGGATAAAGGTTAGTCACTGAATGTCTTGCCCAAGAATTCTCTGGACGGGTTAGATTGTGAAGGACTCACACTAAAGCCCAATAACATTGTGGTGAGGGCCTTCGACGGTTCTAAAAGAATGGTGCACGGGGAGGTGGACATCCCTATCAAAAAAAGGATAAAACTTAGTCTTTCGCATTTAATTTAATTTTAATTATTTTCTTAAAATAAACAAAAAAAGGATTTCTTTATTCATCTAGAACTTTTTAGTTTTTTTAGACGTTTCTTTCCATTTCGCGCGCGTTGTTCACTTTTGTATTTTTTATATACTAATGCATCTGCTGGCAGTATGTAATAGCATAAACTAGGGTGTTACTTTATCGCTTTCATTATTTTTACCCCATTTGTTGGATATGTAAATACCCCCTCCCAGAAGCATTGTAATAGCGTAGATTTAACTTTCCGCACTTTAAATTTCTGCAAAATATTAACTGTTTGTAACTAGGCTTATATGGAAAGACTGAAAACAAAGCGCTAGCAAACCTAATAACAAAGATAAATGAACCAAATTGAATCACTTGAACATATGCACCTCTAGGGTACGCCCACTTTGGTTGCCTTTCGGAAAATAAAACAGTCATGTCCCTCGATAATAGGGAAACTTTAGAAAAGACCCTTGAATCTAAAGATCATAGTCCCTCGATGACCCAAAAGTGTTGTCTTTCGGTAAATGATCTAGTCCCTTAAACAAAATTTATAAAGTGTCTCTATATGTTGCCTTTATAACTGTACGTCCCTTTGAATGTCCCTCATACATCCAAACGACTATGGCTACCTACTCACTAATAGTAGGATAGCACTGTCTAAAGGATAGGAGGAAAAGAACAAACCTTTTCGAGTATAAGCAGATAGTTCCTAGATGCTTTCTCAAAATAAGTTTCCACACTTACACAAAAACATTTCAAAACACTTTCAACAGACGCTTTATCAACATTCTTGAGGACTGATGCAAGAGTTATCATAAAGCGAATCGCCGCACTAAGGCATTTTCAAATACTTTTCAAAAAACACGAAGCACAAGGTATTTCAAAAATGAGCTAAGCATATAAGAGCCGGTAGAAAACTACGGATGGAAAGGGTGCTAACACCTTCCCTTTCCATAATCTACCCCCCTTACTCAGAAAATTCTCGAAAATGTCTTTTTTGTTCTTTTCCCCTTTTCCTTTGTTGGATAAAAGAAAAGTCGGTGGCGACTCTTGCTTACCGCGACATTTGCAAACACAAACGCAAAACCAGTATAACAGTCGGTTCTGTCATCGTATCACACTTAGGATATTACCAAAACTAGATTCATCAATCACATGACCACCAGAAAGACTATGTTCAAAATTCAGTAACCCGGGAGTAATACCTTCATCCTTAACCACATATTACTTTATAAACTTAGGATAACCATATTCAAAATTCAACACTATCTCCAACAACTAAGCATCACTAAGAAGTTCCATAATTTCATTATACTTTAGTGCTTCAACATAATGTTCTTTTTCATCCTTACTTGTACTTTCCTTTTCCTCCTCACTGTTAGCTTCTTCTGCTTCCCCAACTTCCTTTTCCTTGGTCATAATCTTGATCAGAATATCCATATTATTTTTACCTTGAACCTCAAGTTCTGCTTTTTAAGGGTCCTCATCCCTCAAATCTTTAGTACAATCATCATCTTCATCTAGGATATCGTTCCCATATGTATCAAAGACAGGTATATCAATAATTGTTTTAGTAGTGGGTTCAATAGGAGGTTCAACACATGGTTCACCAAATGGTTCAACATGAGGTTCAATATTTGGATCAATGTTGGTTTTAGAATAATCAACAATATTCTCAATAATACTGGTATCAACATTATTAGCCCCACTGTCTTTATTCACATAATTAATAGGCTTATCAACATGAGCATGCACATATGTGTATCTATTAGAGAGACATACCTTTTCAAGTGTCTTATTCTTACTGAAGTTAACATTCTTAGCTCTTGTCTTTAATACATTAACTGGTACAATCATATGAAGAGGTATAACATTGAGTACCACGTCATATGATTCCCTAGGCTTGACGAGAGAAGAAACACCTCCCGACTTACCATTTTCATTTCCTCTAATTATTATTACTTTCATACAACCTCTACAAGATTTCATAACTACCACATGATTTTCGTTCCTCTTCTTTGATGTCTTCTTTCTAGTAACAATCTCATTATATTTCTTAGTTCAGAGAAACCTCTATATCATTCAAGTTGTTATTAATATCATCCTCCACATCTTCTACTACACGACCCTTCTTTCTTTTTGAAGCGGATTTTCTTTTCTTATCATTTTTATTAACAACATCAATACGGGCTACACTAATATCAACCCCAACATCTTCATGGACATGATCATCATGACTCACAAAATTACCAATGTTGTTCTCAAGCTTGTTGATAGAAATAATCTCATCATCATTTTCAACATTATTCTTAGGGGTCAAATAACCATTCTCCTTATGAATTAGAGACTTTGTTTCCAACATGTCGGACTAGTTGTCTGACATATCTTTGTTTAACATCTTGATCTCCCAAATTGGTTACCTGGGTCTCATTAGCAACATACTTTTGAATGAGAGGACGGTTTCTCACATGGTCATACATGAGTGAGACATCAAGAATGTTTTAACTAGCAGCCAGATTAGACTATTCAAAGTCTGGAATATTGTGGAATATTTGATGCTTGGGAAATATTGAAAGAATTACTAAGGCAATGTTCACACCATGGATATCCAATTTATATTCAGTTGGAAACATTTTACATTGGTCTAGTTCCATTATCAAGGAACATACTTGATGCATCATCTGGTGGAACATTGTTGTCCAAATGCTATGAAGAAGAGTATAATTTGATTGAAAGTATTACTGCCAACACGTACCAATGGCCAATCACAAAGGCATATGTTGTTGATAATCCAAAGAAGCCACCTGGTGTGTATAAAGTCCCTAAGGCCACAACTTTTATTGCTCATATGGTCCAAATTCATAAAATAATGAAAAATATGATAACAACTTTTGGTGAGCCAACTGTCAGCCAATCAAAGTTGTGACCAATGCCACTAAGGTTGCATGTGTTTATTATGGAGGATCTCATATATTTGAAAAATGATCAGCAAACCCTGTTACAATGAACTATTGGAAAATAAAAAGTACAACAACTCATCCTTCAACACATACAACACTGATGGCGTAATTACCAAAACTTCTCATAGAGCAACAAACAAAATCATTTGAAGCCCCAAGCACCACAAATACCACCTGGTTTTGTGCATTAAATCATGAAGTGTCTTCACATGGAAACAAGTAGTTGGAATCTATTCTATAATCATTTATTCAAAAGACAAGGAATTAATTTCAATCTCAAAATGTCAACATAAAAAAACTAGAGAATCGAGTTTTATAAATTTCTTATGAACTCAGTTTGAGAACTATGGGGTTAATCCCATGTTCTATTGAAACACATGTATCAACTTTTAGTACCATATTAAAAATTTTAAAGTCATTTTATTGAGAAGTGGAAAACAATATAAAGTAACAAGTTTATAGAGTCAAGAAATGCAAGGGAGAAAACTAAACCCCTCTGAAGTATCAAGAGAAAAAGAGGTACAAACTCCTATATCAACAACGCCCGTGGATGACTCAAGTAAAGAAAAGTTTAAACATGTGCAACCCACTCTAAAACCCTATAACACAACATCTTCTTAAGCATAGATTTTATCAGAAGTGCCAAACTCCAGACCAACATGAAGATTTATACAATAAAGGCCACCACCACATTTTCCACAAAGAGTTAAAAAGGCTAAGAAAGAAAAACAATTTAGAAAGTTTATGGAGATCTTGAAGAAAATTCATATCAATATACCATTGACTGGAGTAATTTAAAAAAATTCCAAACTACTTAAAATTCGTGAAAGATATCTGTAAAAAAAGGAAAAGAGTGAGAGAGTGTTACTATGGAACTAACTTAGGAATGTAGTCAATTTGAACAAGAAAAATTGTACCCTAATTTAGTGGATCTTGGAGGCTTTATCATACCTTGCAACATAGGAGATTCATTTTTTGGAAGGGTCTAATGTGACCTTGGAGCAATCATTAATTTAATGCCATTATTTATCTTTAAGAACCTTGGAATTGACACTGCAAGACCAACAACTATCACACTTTATCTAGCTAACAAAAGCAATTTTATACCCTCAAGGTAAGATTGAAGATTTGTTGGTGATATTTGACAAGTTTTTGTTTCCAACTAACTTCATAATCATGGATTTCAGTGCTGGTGAAGACACACCTATCCTTTTTGGAAGACAAATCCTTCCAAATGGAATAACTTTGATATATATAGAGAAAAGAGAGCTTATGAGAATCAATGGTCAATAAGTGGATTTAATGTCCTTAATAGTTTAAAATGCCCTGATGAAGACATGGATGATTGTTCAGTATTCTCTAATTGGTATTGTAATACGGTGGAGAACTGACTTGGTTTTGCATTTTATCACAAATGTTGCGGATAGCAAGAGTCGCCACCAACTTTTCTTTTATCCAAAAGGGAAAGGATGAAAAGAATAGGAAAGACATTGACAGATTTTGAGTTCGACAGGTAGGTTATGAAAAGGGAAGGTGTTAGCACCTTTTTCATCCGTAGTTATCTACGGGCTCTTAATCTGTTAGCTCACTTTTTGAAAATTTCTTTGTGTGTGGGATTTTGAAAATATTTTTAAAATTTGCCAATGTAAGGCAAAACTTTGTAATTATTCTCGTATCGGTCCTCGAGAATGCGTACAAATTATTTGTTTGAAAATATTTATCGAAAAGAGTGACTGTGAGAAATGTTTTATTTTGAAGAGCTTTATGAGCAAGCGATTAAAAGTTCTACCCTACTCAAGGTCATTCTTATATTTTTCCACCATCTTTAAATAGTGAAATACTACCATTAGTTAGTAGGAATCCCTATCGTTGGATGTGAAGGGACATGTGAGGGTCATCGTACAGTCATCGAAAGCAACTGGTAAGGACGCTTTAACAATTTCGTAAGGGACTAGATCATTTAACAAAAGACACACTCGATAGGGTCTGTTGTACCCCAAAATTTTCCCTCTCATTTAACTCAAGACATGCCTCTAGAGGTCCTCAATTGCTCAAGGATGACTAAGAATTGACCAGACAGACTCTCCCCCTAAAGGCAATGAACCTCAACTAGGGTTTCAATTTTAAGTAATATGTATGAGTCCCAAGGATCCCAAATGTTCTCCATTTTCCTAATATGTCCTCAAATAATCCATGCCAAATTTCATGCCTTGAACAACAAGTTTGCTCAATCAATTGCTCAAATGCTTGGAAATCAACTATACTAGGTCAAAAGTCAATTGTAGCCTATATATAGTCAAACTTCAATATTTTTGGTCAACATCAACATTTTGGAGTGATATCCATCATTTGATCAAGGATTGATCATGAGTCCTCAAGAAATGCTCCTAACTCATCAAAAGTCAAAAATGGCAAATTAGGGTTTCTATAGGAAAAGTCAACCAAACTTTGACCAAGCATAACTTTCTCATACTTTATCAGAAATTTTACCACCAAGGATCATTTTGAAGAGAATATAATTCCCTACATCTTATATTAAGCCCTCAAGTTCAAGAAATGCCCCAATCAAAAGATACAAGCTCATACATTATAGGTCCTTTTCAAAAAGTAAACAAAAACACCTTTTGGGTCAAAGCTCCTTACATGAACATGGAAGATCCAATTGATATGAAACAAAAAGGGTTGTTTAGAGGACATCCTAAGCTCTCTAAGAAGTCAAATAACACCCTCTTAGGGTTAAAATTGAGAGAGATAAGGATTGCACAAGTTGGGCAATTTTCAAGGAATGCATGAAATCTCAATTGGGCAAATTTGTATTTTTGAGCTATTGGGCCCAATTTTTAGAGTCCAAATGTGTTCATTATATATCTAAGGATCTCTAATAATGTCCATGCATTATTTTGTTTTTTATTTTTTATTTTTTATTTTTATTTTATTCAAATAAATTCAAATTAAATTAAATAAATACTAAATAAATGCAAGAATATGTAAGATATAGAATATGCAAATCTTTTTTAAACCAAAGAGATCATAACCAGCTATCAAAACCGTGTGGAGTGAAAAGGAAGTGGATATTTTCTTTTGGAAAAATTTGAATCAAAATATTCACACTTTAAAAGAGCATTGATCAATTGGATTTCTTCCATAATTGTTGACCTAATATGATCCACTACATAAACACATCAACCCTAGACCAAAAGGACACACATAGCTGCTGCAAGAAAACCCCAACAAAGTTTCAAAGTTGTTCAAAATTGGTGCAATTAGAAATCTCCCTATCCAGCCAATCTCAATCAGTTCTAGCCATCCAATCGTATTCTCGGGGCTCTCAGCAAGCCAATCCATCCATCTTTGAAGGGAAAATCCTCCCAGAACCAACAAATCAGAACAACCCATCGTGGGTAACTTCTTGAGTTTATATTGATAATCCTATGACGCATTAATCTTTTTCCTAGTTTAATTCATATTCAGGATGATGTTTAAGGCAGGACCAACATGAAACATGAGTGGTTTAAGGTGAAACAAATATTTTTCCATGTTTAAGGCAAAGTCTGTATCGTGCTCTGAACCAGGTGATACATGCATGCTCAATGAAAACTGAGACTGTATTTGAACTCAAGAGCATTTTTCGTGTGGGATAGGATTTTGATTTGAAGTTTAAACTTCCAGAATTTGCAGATCACGATTTAGTGATCCCAGAGAAGATGACCGGAGATCCACTCCGGCATCGTGGACTTAGTTGACTCTGTTTGGAGCACACCTGGCAGTTTGATACATTCTGAATGGTTATAGCTACTGCAGACGCGTGCGTTTGATTATTGACGAGGACTAGCGCTTATTTTCATTTATAATATTATTATGTTATTATCTATATGAATGAGAAGGCAGTGCAATTGGCAAGGGTATGAATACGTGAAGGAAGGGAGCAGGGTTCGATCCCAGGTCCAACGCTTTTCTGTTTTCTTGATATTTTCTGCAGATTCCAGTGCGTAGCTTCCTAAGATAACCATCTTGCAGTCTCATGCTCAGCCATTGGATCATTCATCCTCCAGATCCAGTTCCCAGTGATGCTTCGCCATGGTGGACCTCCCTAACACAACAATACCAGATCCAGCGCAGCTGTGGGCCAACAGATCTGGGCCTTGGCAAATTCAGCAGCATACCCCTAATTTTTCTTTCTCACCCCTCAGGCATATTTTTTTAATTACTTTATTTTCTTTTTTAATCAGTTTATATTTTATTAATATTCATTTTTAAAAAAAAAAAATCAGAAAATCAGAAAAAATAGGAATTAGAGTTTTTTTCTTAATAAAATCAATTTTTGCAAATTAATCTAAGTAACTTTAATTTGTTTTCTTTAATTTAAAAGCAATTAGAGATTAGGTTAAATTTCAAATTTTTT